GGAAACATATTAAGGTCTTCTCAGTAAAGCAGGAAAGTCGCCACAAAGCCTTTTAAGTGTTGATTTGACATAAAAATAGGCTATATTTGATAAAATTTGACAGAAACTTTGTTTTGTTGTTGTTTTTTGCACAAATCGGACTATTGTATATCTTAGTCACAGAAGTTATAAATAGAACTGACAATGCGAAATGTTTTCAAATATTCCCAGAAATAAATAAAAAGATCTTGAGCTTTTATATGTATGGCTTTTTTCAGATGGGACAAAACCAACATTGTTTATCACCTTCCGCGTAGCGGAAAGGGGATTATAGGAAAGGCCTCCGTCTGTCAGTTCGTCTGTCCGTAACACTTTTGTGTTTGCTCCTTAACTTTTTAACCCCAGAAAATGTTTTGAAACAACTTGGCACAAGTGATCACCATAATGAGACAATATCCAGAGCGCAATAATTGGGTTGCTACCCCCAAGGTCAAGGTCACACTTTAAGGTCAAATGTTAAAAGTCTTCATTTAATAATAAAAAGTCTACATTTCGTGTCCGCTCCATAACTTTTTTATCACTCAAACGTTTTGAAATAACTTGGCACAACAGATCACCATTACGGCATGACGTGCAGTGCGCAATCATTGGGTTGCTACCCAAAAGGTCAAGGTCACACTTTAAGGTCAAATGTTAAAAAGTCCACATTTCGTGTCCGCTCCAACATTTTAACCGCTTAAATTTTAAAAAATATCTTGGCACAATTGATTACCAGTATAAGAACATGTGCAGAACGCAAAAATTGGGTTGCTACACCAAATGTCAAGGTCAAATGTATAAAAATCTACATTTCGTGTCCCCTCCATAACTTTTAAGCCTATGAAATTTTGTTTAAATAGCTTGGCACAATTGATCACCATTATGAAACGATGTGCAGATCGCAATAATTGAATTACTACCCCAAAGGTCAGGGTCACACTTACAGGTCATATTAGAAAGTCTACATATCGTGTCTGTCTCTAACTTTTAAACCCCTGAAACGTTTTTAAGATAACTTGGCAGAAATGATCAACATAATTACATTATGGCACCATTGACAGAGCACAATAATCAAGTCACAACCCTGAAGGTCAGGGTCATACTCAACGGTCCAATGTAAAAACATCTTTTTTTTCATGTCCGCTCTATAACTTATTGACAATTCAAAGGTTTTAAAAATACTTAGCACAAATGATCCCCACCACGACACAATCTACAGACCTCAGGTTGCTGCAACCAAGGTCAAAGTTATAATATTATGTTCTCCATAACTTTTTGACTTTATGGAAGATTTTAAATAACTTGGCACAAATAATTACCATCGTGAGACTTATGTGCTTATGATATGCATGACACAACATCAAGGTCATGGTTGGTAAAAGGTCAAGAAGTACACATTCATGTTCCTTGCGAAGCCCCGGAGTAAACTTTCTTTACAGTGTAAATATAGGAAAAACATGAAAATATTCTTCTCCATAACTGCAGGACCTAGTATAGAATACTATTAAATTTGCTTAAATTACGACCTCCAAAACCAAATGCCCAGATCTTAGATTTTGGGTTTAAAGCATTTTGAAAAAGACCTTAATTTATTTTTCAAATCTTGACAATCTGGTTAAAGTTAACTTAACCCCAGGAGTCATTTTACTTTGTGTTATAAAGAAAAGGCTTTGAAAATTTTCTTCTTCTCCATAAATACGTGTAAAATGCTTTGATATTTAAGTGTGAAGCATTCATTCTATGACCATATCATTATGTCACGATATAATTCACAAGTACTAAGCTTGGTTAAGTTATGATCCGTTTGATTATAATTACCTTTCCCAAGGGTCAATTGAGTTACATAGTCTAACTTATATATAAAATCCTTTATAAAATCATCCCTTTAACCCCATTGTTTAGAGCATGTGAAATAATTTCTAGAAGACTTTTACCATGTTTCTTCAAATCATGATAGGGCCGGGCCTGGGTTATACGCCAATTTCAACACTTCTTTGTTGATAGCTTGAAGGTCGGTTAAACTATCTGACTTTCATGGATAAATAACCAGAAGAGTAATGACCAATTTCTACTAAGCTACGGTACTAACTTTTTTGACAGACAAATGACCGTAAAACTCAATGTCCGAGATCAATTGTTGTCTGTAGAACAAGAGACGCCTGGACTTCACATCCGACACTCTCCGTAAAGTGTGCAGGCATCAAATAATGATCATGAGTCTGAATTAAAACAAGAGTCGGTTGAACCGAGTGATGCTCCCCGACTAGGTTTTAGACATACGCCCTCCGACTATATGCTCCCCGGAAATGTTTCGGGGAGCATAAAAATGGCACTGCCTAGATGTCGATTTTTATATAAAAAACTCTTTATGTCAGAAACCACAATGCAAGACCATTTGGTTGGAAAAATTGTCTTGTGTTCTTTGATTGTTCAAATCATGGCCCCACTGTTATAAGAAGGGGACCTACAGTTTAAGACCTCGTGACCTACTTTCTTGTTTTTGAAGCTAAAGAAATTTGGATAACAGATACAATATGACATGCCAGCTGACCTTAATTTGTACCAGTGACCTCTTTGTATTTAGATTGTAAAATTTCAGATGCAGAATTAAACACTGAGATCAGTTGACCTAGAATTTAATCTAATGCAAGTTAGAGTTTCATAATACAAGCTACAACCAAAAAGTTTGAACTCAACAATAAATTCGATTGTCATTAAAATTTGATATTGGTTGACCTAGAATTTGAACCAGTGTCCTACTTATTTCTTGTTTTAGCTACAAAGTCTTAAATGTTTACCGTATGTACAGTTTCAAACATTTGATAATATTTATATACATTTCTACCTTAAGACTGCCTTTTACTTATTATTATCAACATTAATTAGATCATGCACATTTGACATGACCTTTTTCTATGTATAGCAGTTTGAAAAAAGCAAATGCATGATGCAAATTCTTGAAATAAGTTTATTCATCTAATTTCAAAATAAAGTTATCTGTGTTGATAATTTGGTAGAATTAAATGTGACTTCTTTTAATGTTACATTTTTTTCAATTTATTAACATAGCATTGAGCACAGATTATTTAACTTTAAGTTTGTGTCATTCTTATCAACATGCTTAAAATGCTAAAAGTTGAAAGTGTCATACGTTTAACGTGTGTCTTTGATTTTACTTCTCCGTTGTCATGGCAACAGAACATGTTAAATATTGATAAACAAAATATCAGTCTAAGTTTCTTAATTATTTATAACTTTAGATACATGCCAAAGTGCAATACATGTTGACAATTCATAGTTTTAATTATCATAAGAAACCAGTTAAAAAAATACTGAGACTTAATTTTCGTTACCCCACCCACTTTAAGAATATCAGAATCCACATTCTTATACAATAAAAATAAAAATAAGGGTGATATTAGTATGATATTGTTCAAGTCTTTGTAGTATTTTGTAAAAATATTCATTTACACCGCTATGTATAAGCTGGTAGGAATAAATGTCAGCCCCATATCAATTTTTGATATTTTTTTCATGCATTTTTTAGCAAATTTATCTATGGAATTCAGGGATTATGAAAAAATAATGAAAATGCCTCCATTTTCATATTGTTCCGATGGGATGTGAAGTTCTTACATCATTTATACTAAAATAAATACAAAAAAAAACCTAATTTTATCAGATAAAATGCGTATTAGCCATTTTTCAATAATTTGGCGGCCATCTTGGCGGCCATCTTGGATTTCTCAAAACGTACCATGATTTGACATGTCTACCCAAAATTTTTGTAAACTTCAAACATTTAGCTTTACATTGGTATAACATTTATCTATGGACCTTTTTTGCACACAAAAGGTCCTCAGGGACTGTACTAAAGTAAAAAGTTCTATTTTACACCTATTCCGATTTCGCATCCACCGGTGCACATAAGTTTTGCACCAGTTGTGAAAGTTGCTTCTGTTGCTAAAAATAGACATGCCAAACCTATTTCACGTGGCTCTCCAAATCGTCCAAGTTGCTAAATATAAATAAAATGAAAATAAACAATTAGAATTCATATTCATTATTCGATTACAATAAGTCTTCTTTCAAACTGTAAAGTTATGATATAAAAAAACAGCATACTTAACTTTTAATCACTGAAATACAGTTTGAATTTTCATGGCGTACAATATTGTATAAACTTTACTTTTAAAAGTTTGTAAAGCATTTGAACTAAGATAAGTTATAAGTGAAAACAATCTATTTGGATAGTATCGGCGTATCTGAAGTTTGAGGACCAACAACCACCTTATTATCTGACGCCATAGCACGTTGCCAAGGTGGCAAGCGTTCAATTTAACTAGTGCGTAGCAACCAAGCAAGTATGAAACTGCATTATTTTCGATTACAGAAAAAAGAAAGCAAAAGATAACAAAATATCAAGTGGTTTAGATCTGTGTTTTTTTGCTTGATTGTTTGTTTCTTTTATTAGATTTTCATCACCAACACAGTAATAGTCCTACGATGATCTACTTCGTGCATTCAATATTTCAGACTTCCAGCGAGGACTTTGGTTAACCACCGATCTTCCGCAAATTAACTGGATGGGTTTCTCACATGAAAGATTCTTATGTTTCTGACAGGACCTTAATCACTTGGTCACAGAGGCTATAATACTTGATATGTTACGTACCGACCAATTTTTCACTATTTTCGCTTTGTCCCCTTCTAATTCTAACCACTTTTGAAGCAATGGTGTATTTATTGGTCCAGGGCATACCCTTCACAAATTAAAAATAATTTTGTTCATCATCATCATCATCATCATCATCATCATCATTAAAATCATTATCATCATTATTATTATTATTATTATTATTATTATTATTATTATTATTATTATTATTATTATTATTATCATCATCATCATCATTATCATCATCATCATCATTATTCCATCATCATCATCATTATCATCATTATTCCATCATCAATATTACCATCAGCACAACCGCCAGCAGTATCGACAGCACCATCATAATCAGCATTAACATTACAATTATCATCACCACTACTACCATCACAACCCCTACTATCACTATCACCACCATTTTCAACATCAACAACACCATCGTTATTATCAGCACAACCATCGTCATCCTCACTACCAGTATCATCATCACAACCACTATCATCATCATTATCATAAATTTCCTATTTTCATTTCTCCGACTTTATCTATGACATATGTATCTAGATCAGGCATGGTCCGACTTCACTTTGCATGATGGCATGCCTACATTTTGCCTGCATTGCCCTGTTATACCCTCAAATCATATGAAAATTGAAATCAGTATCATACATGTACGTAAAAGAAAAATCAAATGTGTACTTACGTATTGACTCTAACACCATTCTGGGCTTCGTCAATAGCCAACGCTTTTGACAACGGGATAATAACACCCGTAAAAGATGAAGAAAGCAACATGAAATGGTAATGTGTTTATGGGAATATGTCTCTTATTCAACTTCAAAAAAATACTTTCAGGATACTTGTAAATATTCATCCTCGGAATGTGTACCGTGGACACCGACGATAGTATATATTAGATCTATATCAAACTTGAAAAAAAAAATACCAATATGATAATTATTTCTATCATTTTATTATTATTTCATCTGTCTATACAAGTATGAACTTTAACAGAACAGTTCTTTTATTTTTTATTTGATCAAAGGACATCGTCATTTTCAAAATAATTTTCTATTAACATGTACATATGACCGAGGTTCGGTTTGAAAAACAGAATAATTATTGTTTCTATTAATTAATCCCTTTCGCTGCTTTTACAAGGACAAAAAGGGTGCATGTGAGGTATTTCACTATCGATAAAACTAAAAAGTATTCATAAGACCTTAGAAGTGTTGGTCTATCTTAAAAATCCAGCTATTATAATTATATATTAGCCGTGTCATGACAAAACCAACATAATTGGTTTGGGTTTGCGATCAGCATGCTCGTTTCTCTACACAGGAAATATACAAATAATATTTTCCTCTTACAGATATTTCAGAAGAACTTTAAAATTTAAAAAAAAAAAAACATTTTAAACTACAAGCTGAAGAGATTTCAAATTTATATAATTTTGAGCGAATTTTTACAAAGCAAAACAAAATCATTCTGAACTGTAAGATCGTCATTGTGTATAACTGTAAGATATTTAAAAAAAATCATTAATTGAGCCGCGTCACGACAAAACCAACATAGTGCATTTGCGACCAGCATTGATCCAGACCAAACTGCGCATTCGCGCAGTCTGACCAGGATCCATGCTGGTCGCAAACGCATTGTGTTAGTTTTGTCGTAACACGGCTCAATTACATTTTTAACTTACCTTACACATTGCAAACATGCTCACGACGTAAACATTGAGGATTTGCCGGAAACTATCAACAGTTAACTCGTCAATCAGATGACTGCCATGATCTTAAATTAAACAAATACCGGTAAAATTTAGAGTGCCTTCCATTTGCACTATGTTCCGTAGTAAATATAGGCAGGGAACCAGATTAATACGGTAAAATCTGGAGTTCCTTCCCCTTACACGATAATCCGTAGTAAATGTAGGCAGGGAACTAGATATATACGGTATAATCTGGATTTCCTTCGCTTGACACTATGTTCCGTAGTAAATGTAGGCAGGACACCAGATATGTACGGTATAATCTGGAGTTCATTCGCTTGACACTATGTTCCGTAGTAAATGTAGGCAGGACACCAGATATGTACGGTATAATCTAGAGTTCCTTCCCTTTACACTATGTTCCGTAGTAAATGTAGACAGGGAACCATATTAATACGGTATAATCTTAAGTTCCTTCACTTGACACGATAATCCGTAGTAAATGTAGGCAGGGAACAAAAATTATACCGTATTGCTGTTCCAACAATACAATAAATTGGTAAAATTCTTACCGATATATCAACCTTATATCTACAAAAACCTTTGAATTGCCGAAAAGAAATGGTTGCGCAATTAATATTTTTGATGTTTGGAATTTTTTTGTTTTCTTGCAATTATTTTAGAAAGTCCGCTTGTGTATATGGAATTGTTTTTACTTCTTTTATCAATCACTTCTAATTTCATCAGGAGTGTGCATTCAATAGTGTTACCGCGATTTTTTTTATTATTATTATTTCTAAAATTATTAAATTTTAATGCAAAAAATTATAGGTTCAATTTTCTTAAGTATCCAGAACTTTACCAAAATTTGCCCATCCCTGTTTATAGAGGATATTCAAGTTTTTTTCTATAAATAAATGATTTTTTCCATAGAGTTGTATGAAAATAAAAATTTCATGAAAGAAATGTGACCATTTTCATGCCACAAGATAAAAATAAATCATGTTTTTATAGAAAAAACTTGAATTTTCTGTTTATTATATACATTTTTCTCTTTTTTGACATTACAATCTGAAAGACTTTCCTTTAAATTTGTGTACTGAAAGTAGTCCGACAAGACACTTCTGAAAACGGACATATGTTTCACCGCAATGAAAGTTAATATTTTTTACAGTGAAAATACGGAAATTGAAAATACGCCTTTTATTTATCAATATTTCTCAATATTTCATTTATAAGAATATAATAAAACAAGTTGTTTAGTTTTTCCGATATACAAAATCAAAATTTTATCACTAGAAAGCCTCATAGCTTCCCTTTTTACCTGCTTCCTTGGAAATTTATACATGTAGCTTAAATTAAAGTATTTGAAATTTAACAAATGAGTACTATAGAAAATTCAACATACGCATTCCAACGTCGTTGATAAGGCAATCAATTTTACTGTGCTTCTCAACAGTCCAGTCAATACTTTTCTGAAAAACACAAATACACAATTACAATAATCTGTAAATTGACTAAATTCTGTAAATAGCGTGATTATATTCAGTATACTTGTTAATGATATAGTTTCTATTAACTTACCTTTATTTCTTCTTCGTTAGTAACATCACAGTGTATATATGAAACATTTCCAGGTCCTGGTAACCTAAGTGTATTGCCAACTTTATCTGAAATGATATTTTTCTTGACAACTTTAAACATGCAATTGTACAACAAAAACAATTTTAACTGTGGCAGTAAGTTGAATTCTTTTTACCAGAAACAGCCAAATGAAAATAAGGTACTTTTGAATTTGTGTATAGAAATTTATGTTTTTATTATTGAAATAAAATATGTGGACGTACTATGAGTATAGGTTCCAAACTTAATTGATGTCAGAACCGAATGACAAAAAATATGCGCTTCTTGCGAGATCAGTGCAGTTTGATCAGGATCCATGCTGTTCGCTGTCAGTTTCTCTACTTGTTATAGGGTTTGTAAGCGAACAACATGGATCCTGATCAGACTGCGGGGATGCGCAGGCTGGTCTGGATCCATGCTGGTCGCAAACCCATTATGTTGGTTTTGTCATGACGCGGCTCATATCTTACTGGTGTCTTAAGTTGACAACGATGTTTGTACAGCTTTGCTTTTCGAGAATTCACATTAAAAACTTACCGTTTATATCAAACACGACCACTGTTCCGCCATTTTCGACTGAAAGAAAAATTTTAATCACTTCTTTGTTTTTAAATTTATCAGAAATAATAAGTAGATCTTCATTTCTAATCACAAGACTATTACGCCATGATATCCATCAAATGTCATTGAAACCATTACAATCGCTAATAATTACTAGGCAATTTTAAATGCCCCCCAAAAATAAGCCTTTTGGCAATTCAAATGTTGTGCTTTTGTTTGTGTTTTTATGTACGCCTTTGTATCAATATTAAGAAACACAGTTTTGAACTCATTGTTATAAATTGATATGACTTTCGTAGAGAACTAATGAATATTATTGAGTTGATTCGCTGGTACAGAAATCATGTGAGATTACTAGCTTTCCTGGATAACTTACCAGGAAATACCCATTTCTTCGCAAGTAACCGACTATTAAACCCACATGATTTCATCGAATATCAAACGTGAAAGACAATTGACAATTAGACTCAATGTCCGAAAACAAATTGCCATGGCGGAGAAATTACGCATTGCTGAGGATAGAACCAGCGCCCACTAGATTAATTGTCCGACGCTCCCCCTATTGAGATTGTATCATTAAAATAAATTGTCGATGTTGGTATATCTGTTTATAGTTTTCCCTCAGTTCATGCAGTAAACCATTTTTGAATTATCCAGAGTACAGTTCAATCCCCGTTCCCGAGCAAGCTGTCAAGCTGTTAGCCAGCACTAGTGTCTTCACTTTAGTAAGAAACAGGGCCCGGGCCGCTCGACATATTTAGTCACCCCGATCGTTAATGTCACTCTTTCAACAAATATAGTTTATTTATGCACTTAAATATAAGTCAACGGTTTTCTGATATGATTCCATATGCTTAAATGTTTAAAAATATCCTTTGCCAATGGAATAAAAACTTAAGTGAACGGTTATTCTCACCAAATACATCGACGCATCCTTTACCAATACCACTACATCCACCAGTTATAATAGCTACTTTATCTTTAAAACGTAATCCACTTGCCATGGCTGCTCTACGGGACTTGTTTTAGACTGGAAACTGAACAGAAATGCAAAAAACTAAAATAGCATACAATTTTGTTATTATGCATAATTACTTGTATTGTATTTTTCTTTTATAAGAAATTAAGCCCTTTCATATATATATGTTGCGATATACAAAGTGGAGAGGGGGTATATTGTTAAGATATTTCCGTAGTGCTATAAGTAAGGCAAAAGAAATGATGATGTAAAAACGGCGGATAAATTTCTCATATGGTTTATGTGGTAAGCAACTAAGTCTCCAGTCCTGTTTTAATCAGTCTTGATGATATATTTACTGTCAAAATGATATGTGACAAATATTACTTCTTGCCACACATGTACTTAAAGGTAATGATATGTTTCCAATATACTAACAGGTAGAAAAGCAAAAAGTGTTTTTTCTGATTGTAAAGACATATGTCTTGAAAAAGACTAGATCTATATTTTTAGATGAAACCTTTGTAATTTAACAAACAAAGGTAAAATATCTCTTTAAAATAACATAATATTTCAGGGCAAGATGTTAATGTTTACGTTGATCATCAGCACATATTGTTTGCTTGAAGAAATCATCAGAAGCTAAAAGCTACTTAAGTTATCATGAGGCACTAAAGCACAAAACACATGATACTCTTGAAGCATTTGCAGCAGGCATTTATTATCTACGAACTGATATGTAAATACAATGTATGTGTGTTGCAATGAACTACATGTATGTGCCATTGATACTGTTTTAACAATAAATTTCCGTTTAAGTACTACGGTGCATACATATCACGTGACATAATATGATCTTGGTGGGGCAAAAATATATATAGTAGACGGTTAGTTTGTTTTTTCTCCATAATTCTTCCGATATTTCATTATATTTATTTGGGTTAGGTGTACAACCGTTCTTGTTCTAGTGAGAAACAAATACGTAAAATGTTTTGGGAAAAAGGTCAGCATTTAAAGTTAAGGAAAGTGCAACCGTGTATTTGAACAATCGCGCAATTTCATTCTACGACAGACAGGTACTTTCCCAGGAAACATAGAATGTATGGGTTCCCCTCTTAAATGACCGTCCTTAGCATCCCGTAAAATGATAAAAGATGGTGTACATGAATAGCCATATTGTCTGCAAGCGCAGTAAGTGCGACAATATATTTTTTTCTTTTGAAATATTAGTGATCGGAAATGAGGAAATTTAGGGGGCACAGCAAGAGTATATTCGTTTTGTTCTTTTAAAAAAGATAATAATACTTACTTGTCAAAATGAATAAATGTATCACAAAATCCCGCCATTTTACACCAGTAAATATTTGCCTCACTTTAAACAAACCAGAAATAATTTAACAATATCCTCCTCCACGCCTAATCAATCCCATCTATAGAGAAGAATATGTAGATGTGTAAGACGCCAGGTAGGTCATCAAACAGAGCTCCGGATCAGTTCCAGATTGCCCCGGGTTCGAGTCCTTGTCAGGCTGGGCATTTTCTCACCCTCTCACAGATAGCCCCTTACATAGACAGCAAAGCATTTGAACAAGAACAAATACCATACAAGAATAAAAATAGAATTAGAAACTGACTTAATACTTTCATAATAATCTCACATTTGATGTTCTAAAGAATGCAACAATGCATTACTCAATTGACCCATTTGGCAACTATTTCTTATACATTCTTATGATTTTTTTTATATAATTTTGTTTTAAAAGTGATATTTCTCATCCATGACAGTACTTTTTCCTTATTTTGTCTTTCATTTGAGTTTTGTTTAATGATATATTACAAATACTTACTTTGTAATTGCTAACCAATTCATCTGGGATACCATCTCAGCGGATCAATATATGACCAAAAGCAAATTACATGTATGTATTTTGGAAAAAATAAATTCTTTAAAAACTTTTTATGTGGTTAAATTTCATTGCCAGATAATTGAAATATATGAAAACTTGCTTATTTGCAGGCTGGAGATGCTGTTTAAGGAAAATTTGCCGTTTTCTTTGCTATTTTGTAAAAAAAGAAAAATGAAAAAAAAGAGTTGATTTAGGAAGTGTCCAGTTAGGGGGTATTGCAAATAAAAATTATATTGCTAAACATTGCTATGTACATGTATTGCGATATTTACAGACATATTACAATATATTGCAATAATATTATTATATATAAAATGCTTGAAAATGAAGGGTAAGACCTACAGTAACTTTATTTAAAGATTTAATTTAATATTATGTCCCAATAAATGGTATGCCAGAGGTCCTGTAATAAATGATTTTCACAATGTATTAAGAAACGTATTGTTAATGAAGGAGATTAAGTAACTTAATGTAATTTTTTTATGCCATTTGAAGTCAAGGTAACACAAAAGATGATTACACTTGTATATCTTATAGAATTTTATGTTTCCATTTAAAGTTTATAGCTTCAATATATTGTGATATCTGAAAACATACTGCAATATAATATTGCAAGATAAAATATTGCGATATCCAATATATTGCACAACCGTATCTTCAGTACCCATTATAAAATAACACCAGAAGAGCTTATTTTATAAACATAAATGTCCAGAAGGACTTTGATAAAGATTTTCTTTGCATTACGCTTTATACTGCTACATTTATTCAAAAATTTATTTTTAAAAGGATGAAAAGAAATAAAGTACTGAGTCAGACATATTTAACATTGAAATACATAGCAGGGTTGCCTGTTGGTCATGTACCTTAATTGTACCCTTGCCTGTTCCTTTAAGAAGCTTATTGAAATTGGTGCTTCTGTGTATTGTGAGGCAAATTCACCCTTAATCAAACTTCCCTTCATGGCCATCACCCTGAGAAAAGTGTGGAGGTGTTGTTATCCCATGCACATATATTATAAGACATCATAATAAACAACAGGCTATAGATATTGTCAAAGAGGCCCTAATGGACATGAGTGAATGGGAGTTTATAAGACTAGCATATTAATCATCAATACATTTCTATGATGTAAAAACAGGTGAATACCCCAACTCTCAATTTGCCGTGTAACAAAGTGATTAAAGAATGAAAAATATTTTTTTACAGTGTCTTTAGATTTATTTCTAGATGTAGAGGTTCTATCTTGGCTTAATTTTGACAGCTAAAGTTTATTTTGAGACAACCCCATTAAGGATTCGCATTACCTTCACTTGATTCATATTTACTACACTTTTGGGCTATAAATAGAAATTGTCTCTCTTTCAAAACACACGACAAGGAATTGCAGCAACAACATTTTTTGTAAGATGCTGTCATTTGAAAACAAAAAACACAAAAAACATTTTTTAAATTACATATTTGATATTAATATGATAGCGAAATATTTATGTTGATCCGGATTGCCTTTACAAACTGTACAACTTTAATATTTATAACAAAGTGCTTACCTGTATTCAAGTAGTTTCCCACACTACTCACAATTAAATCAGTATAACAGTTACTTACTGTACATGTGCAACGATGACCGATCTATGTAAATACAGTGTGTGGTTTAAAAATAGCAAAATATCAACATTTGGCCTAGTTAGCAATATCATATCTTATAAATGTTTCTGATACAAGTTAAGATGAAATGCTGCCCTTGCTTGCAAGTTTTCATAGGTGATATGTCAATAAGATAGTTCGATCAAAATTGTTTGAGTGTTTATTAGCTGCCATGTCCATTTGGAGCACATCCTTCGAAACAATTAAAATCAAAGCACAGAATGCGTTGAATTTGTTTGGGTCTCAGAATGTCAGAAAGGTGAAGGTTGTGAGATCATAAACCAATTTGTTTTTGTGTAGTGCCAGCAATGCTGTTTCCATTGTTATAATTGTAGTAAATTGGCTGTAATACTCATTGCAACACTGACATTCAATTCAATGTTATTTGGCTTAAACAATTTAAAAAATATATAAAAAAAACATGAGTTGCATTAACTGGGATTTCAACCCCAGACCTCTCGCTTCCTAAACGAGCGTGTAAACCCTGGACCACGGGTAAGTTATAAGAAAATAGCCTAAAGCAAACCACATTAGTCTAAATTAGGGTTTGTAATCCTTATTAATTTCGAATTAAAATGAAATTAATTATCGATCGTCGACTGCCTAAAGTCGTCCCTGTCCTAGAGTCAATATCCTTACTTTATTTTTCAGAAAGTCTAAATAACAAAACACAATAATCCGAAGCTTTACGGAGATAGCCGAGCAATTTTCATTGATTAAAATGATATTCATCCGAATATATTTGTAATGAATATATTTCCGGTAATTTGCGGAAATGTTAAAGAACTACGCAAAATTAGAAATCTTCGACCAATCAGGAACTGTGTTTTCTTCCCTGAGAAGGTTTGAAAAATGCGCCTGTCATTTGACAATCTTACGCAGTGATCTCCGCTTGATTTTTCGGCTAATTTTTCGGCGTTAGTAAAGTAAATGCTCCGAGGAGTTCGTTAACCAAACAAATAAAAACGAAACAAGTTAAATGTTGATGCTGCACATCAAAGACGCCGCCAAATGATGTGAACAGTCAATCAGCATTGAAAATCGTTCTCTATTACAGTTGAATATCCGAAGCACAAATCATTTTTTTCTCCACGTGCTTGATATGTGCTCGTTGTTTAATAATAAAGTTGCATATTTTTGTGAACAAGTAGAACCTAATGCATAAATTAACAAAATCATGCCAGGTTTGAAATTCTTAAATGTTTATCTGTTGCGACAAAAACTGAAACGTCTGGTCGATCAAAATAAATTGAATAAAAAATAAAATTGAAATGATTGGTATACTTAAAATAAATTCAAGACAATATGTGTCGAGAATATACCCATTTAAATATTGGTACGAATTGCATAATGTTCGAATTATTTTGAGGACAAACTGTTCTGCAGTGATTTCCCCTTACAGGCGGTTTGTTGTACTTTCTTAACGGTTAAGTGAGAACCGCCTCTCTGATAGTGTGCGTGGTTTAGGCTTTGTAACTTGTAATTTAATGAT